GGTGCCTTGAACAGGAGAGATGTCAAGGTCCTTTGCACAGCACAATCCCTGCCTTTCCTGAGCCCATCAGTGAGAGACTCCCTTGGCTTAGTCAGATTTCCTCCCCTACTCCCAATTTTTTGGCAGAGGGAGCAAAATGTTTAATTGAAATGTAACATACATATGGAAAAGTGCACAGATTATAAGCAAACATCTCAGTGAATTGTTACAATGAATTTTTACAACCATAAGTACGCCTGCAAGCTTTATGGCAATCAAATGTATCTTTTTATAATGGCAAGTCTCTTGTAATGATAAAAACATTAGGCACTTGTAAGAATTTGGAAAATACAAAATGATGTATAATAAAGAAAATTAAAATAACTCACTGTACTTGCACTGTGTTACCCTGGTGGGTTTCCGGTCTGACTCTCCCTCTCACATACACAGATGTATAAAAACCAAAAACCAGTGACCCTCATGCGTGTCAGAGTAGAACTGTGATCATTTACATGGGAGAACATCAGCTGTATATCATTGTTAAATTGCAATGATTAAAATCTCTTCCATCCATCATCATTCAACAGTATTTGCTTCCATTCCCTCTGTTTTTTGTTTGTTTGTTTGTTTGTTTTTGTTTGGGGGGAGGGGTGTAAACAAAAACACTTTCTTTATTTCTTATGCATTTATGTTTTGTCTCATGAGCAGAAAATATCATAGAATATGAGAGCTGGAAAGGACCTTAGAGATTATCTACTCATTCATTTAATAATCATCTAGTACAAAGTTTTCCTTTTACAATTGAGGGGGTTATTCACTGCCTATGAAGCGTGGTAACTCTGATTAAACTAATCTGGCAAGGGAAGAAGGTACCTCAAACTCAGCCAGGTAACATTGCAGCAGGGAGGAAGAGCAAATGGCCTGGCCTTTGCAAGTGGACTAAATATGGCTAAGCCTCAAAACACAAGCCTGTTTAAACCCAGTTAATTATCCTTATGAAATGAAATGAACATGTATTATCATTATTGTTATTTAAAAAAATACAAATCTTGCCTGGAATCCTGGTGTGGTGCTGTGGGATAAGGCACTGGACCACAAGGTTGGTTTGAAACACAAGGTCGGTGGTTCAAACTCACCTGTCACTCTTTGGAAACCCTATACAGGGTCGCTATGAGTTGAAACCAACTCGATGGTACTTAACAAAAAACAACAACAATCTTATTTAGTTCCCAAAAGAATTTCAGTGGGCTTATTAAACACTGTGCTAAACAGAGGTTTGGTGTGGCCCTGTAGGATAAGCACTGGGCTACAAGGCTAGTTAAATGCAGTGGTCACTGGTTCAAATCCACCAGCCGCCCTTTGGAAATCCTATGCAGGTTTGCTATGAGTTCTATATACTGTTAACAGTAGTAGGCAACAACATCAATCTTGCCTACTTCCAAAAAGAATTTCATTGGGCTTATTAAAGGCTCGTCTCGGGTATTTAAAATCTTCTCTCTCTTCCCATCAGTTCCGTAGGGTTTTTGCTGCTGCTGACTCATAATGACCCTGGATAGGGTTTCCAAAGCTGTAAATCTTTATGGGAGCAGAAATTTCCAAAGTAGATCACCACACCTTTCTTCTGAGGCAACTTTGGGTGGATTTGAACGCAGCAGCATCAGCTGAGTGCTTGCCTGCTTGCAGACCTAGGAATTACACCCACTGTTGTACCACTCCCAACAAAAAGGCCCCCTCTGCAGCTTCAAAATGTTGTTTGTCCGTGTCCATGAATGCACAAACAACTTTTTAATTCATTGCAGTAACAGGAGTGGAGCGTTCTACGTATTTCATTGCTTATGAGCTCCACCAGCAGAACAGCAGGGAAGGAATGTCAGGGAAACGGAAAGCCACCTTTGGTTACTGTTTGGTGTTGTTGAGTTGACTTCAACTCATAGTGACTCCAATCTGTGTACAACAGAATGAAACATTGCCCAGTCTGACTTCATCCTCACAATCAACGCTGTGTTAGCGCCTGGTAGTATTTCCACTCTGTCCACCCATCTTGTTGAAGGTCTTTCTCTTTTTCACGGACCCTCTACTTCACTAAGCGTGGTGTTCTTCTCCAGGGACTGGTTCTTCCTGATAACAAGTTCAGAGTACAAGAGACAAATTCTCACCATCCTCGCTCTCTGACTGTACCTCTTCTAAGACAGACTTATTTGTTGTTCTCATAGTCCACTGTCTATTCAATACTCTGACATCACTAATCCAGACAGACCAATTCTTCTTTAGTGTTTCTTACTCATTGTCCAGAGTCCTGGTGTGGCTCTGTGGGTTAATGCACCAGACAGCAAAGCCATTTGAACTGCAAGGTCGGCGGTTCAAGGTCACCAGCTGCTTCTTGGAAACCCTATACAAGGTCGCTATGGGTCAGAACAGACTCGACAGCACTTCATAACAACAACAACAACTCATTGTCCAGTTTTCTTATGCTTATGTGGCAGTTGGTAATACCATGGCTTGGGTCAGACTTACCTTAGCCCTCAGAGTGATACCTTTGGTTTTTGGCACTTTAAAGAGGTGTTTTGTAACAGATTGACCCAATTCAGCACCCTATTTGATTACATGACTGCTGCTTCCTTGGGTGTTGATTATGGGTCCAAATAAAACAAAACCTTTGACAACTTCAGTCTTTTCTCTGTTTGCCATATTGTTGCTAATTGGCCCAGTTGTGAGGATTTTTGTTTTATGTCAAGGTGTAATCCATATACCAAAGGCGGTATGGTCCTCGATTTTCATCATTTAAATACTTCAAGTACTTTTCACCTTCTGTAAGCCTGGGTTTGCATATTGCAGATTGTTCATGAGATTTCCACCAATCCTGGTGTCATGTTCTAATTTACGTAGTGCAGCTTTTCCGATTGTTTCTGCTCAGACTACAAATTGAATAAATTTGGTAAAAGAATACAGCCCTGATGCCCACCTTTCCTTATTTTAAACCATGCAGTGTCCCCTTGTTCTGTTTTAACAACTGCCTCTTGGTCTATGTATAGATTCCACACGAACGCTCTTAAGTGTTCTGGAATTCCCACTGTTCCCAATATTATCCATAGTTTGTTATGGTCTGTTCTCTCAGATGCATTTGTGTCGTCAATAAAACACAGGTAAACATCTTTCTGGTACTCTCTGCTTTCAGCCAAAATTCATCTGATGTCAGCAGTGGTATTTCTAATGTCCTTTTCTAAATCTGGCTTGAATTTTTGGAAGTTCCCCGTCGATGTCCTGTTGGAACTTTTTAAATTATCTTCAGCAAAATTTTACAATAAGCACTCGATTGAGAACCGCAAGGCCCACAGTTTGAGCCCGCCAGCCGCTACAAGGAAGAATGATGAGGCTTTCTGCTCCCTTGAAGATAGTAAGCCTTGAAAATCCTATACGGAATTGCTGAGCCAGAACTGAATCAAGGGCACTTCATGACAATGATGTTAATATTGATAGAAAAACCCTGCATTCTTTTGGCTCTCCTTTCTTTGAAATGGGAACACAAATGAATCTCCTTGGTTCTCATTTTTTTTAGTATACTTTCCATATGAGTTATTACACATACAAAATTTTGGAGGGGATTTTTTTTGTATTGGTACGATGTTTGCTCACATTGCTTTCCCTTCCTTTTAAAGCATTTTCGCACGCAAGCTGAAGTGGCCTGTATTTATAACGTGTGTCTTATGTGTGTTTTTGTTGTTGTATTGTCTTTTGCAGTCGAAATCAGCTGTCCACCTTGCCAGCCTGCCTATGTGGTCTGCCTCTCAAAGTCTTAATCGCAAGTAACAACAAACTTGTGTCTCTGCCAGAAGAGATAGGCCAGCTCAAACAGTTAATGGAATTGGTATGTTGGGTCTTTTTTGTTTGTTTGTTTACTTATCATAAGCCAATAATATAGGAAGGAAAAAACTTTGTATCACTTGGCAAGGAGGAGCTTACTACTTTGAGTCCAGTGTATCTTAGACAGGGAAGGGTAACTTCCCACTACTGCCCACTTGATTCTAACTCAGCAAACCCTATAGGACAGAGTAGAACTGCTCCTTCACCTTTCTGAGACTGTAAATCTTTACAGGAGCAGACAGCCTCAACTTTCTCCTAGGGAGAGGCTGGTGGGTTTGAACTGCCGCCCATGCGATTAGCTTCCCAATGTTTATCCCCCAGCACCACTAGGGATCCTCCTTGGGAGGGTAACAGCCTTGGCGTTTCTGTGATAAAGACAGTTTCTGAAATAACCGGTTATCATATTGTAACTAGATAATACGTTTTAGATGGCATGTAAGTTAATGGTAAATTATGGCTAAGTTGGCAGATTAACCTACAAATAAAGTTAGTAGGCCACACTTTATAAAGACATCTAATCAAGTCAGAAGACAGAAAGAACAGAGCGCTCTGATTCCGTTAAGGTTTTAGAAAGCAATGCCCCAAATTGATTCCTATCGATGCACATATTTAAAGCGTGATTATGTCCCCAGGGTTTAAAAAGAAGGATAAGTTATCAAGGGCAGAGGTGGGTAAGTGTGTGCCTAAAGCTGATATGTGCTGTTCTATTTCAACTCTTTTATTGCTAATTTAATTACTAACCTTGTTTCTAAATTGGGCAGCAATTATTTCTTTCTAGGTTTCCATTGAACTAAGCTGGTTGGAAAAGAGAGACAGAGATGAACAATCAAATCCGGTTAAAAGATAATAGTCATACTTTGTCCTTGGAGGATGCAAATGGTTAATGCACTCAGCTATTAACTGAAAGGTTGGCAGCTTAAATCCACTCAAGGGAGCCTTGGAAGAAAGTCCTGGCAATCTAATTCTGAAAGGTCACAGCCATTGAAGGCCATATGGAGTACATTCTATTCTTGACACACATGGGGTTGCCAGAAGTCAAAGTCAACTCGATGGCACTGGTGTTTACCAAGCCAGCTTAACTCAATGTGGATTTTGTGTCAGGCTCAAAGCACGGTGTTGTACTAAAAACAATGAAATGACATTGTCTGCAAGTAGTTCTCAGTCTGGAACATTAATGGCAAATAATTGTGCCACTGCCCACCAGTTTCTTTTAGGGGTCACCTGGACCACTGTGGTGAGATGAATAGTGAAGCACAGACAGAGAGTGCTTTGATCAATTCATTGTGAAGTCCAGACCAAGAATGCTTGGAAATTAACAGAGAGGGACAGCAGCATCCACACGATATATTTGTCCATTTTGATTTTAGTATCACCCTTTCCATGAGTCAGCTCTGACACATGGTGACCTCACATGTGTAAGAATAGAACTCTGTTCCACTGGGTTTCCCGTGGCTGATTTTTCTAAAGACATTCACCAGGCCTTTCTTCTGTCGCGCTTTCTGGATGGATTGGAACTTGCAACATTTGGCTAGCAGCTGAGTTTGTTAATCATTGCACCAGCCAGGGACTCCTGACCGTTGTATAAACTAAATCAAACCTGTTGCCATTCCACTTCCACTCATAGCGACCCTATAGTACAGAGTAGAATTACTCTCCTATTCCCAAGGCTGTGTGTGTGTGTGTGTGTGTGTGTTTTTTGTTTTTTTTTTACAGAAGCAGACTGCCACATCTGTCTCTCGTGGAGTAGCTGGTAGGTTAGCAGCTGGGAGCTTTATCACAGTGTCTTCAGGGTACCTCTGAGTTCAGTATAGAAAAAAGTTACTGCTATATTAAACGATTAGAGCAAAATTAGCTTCTTCAATAACTGAAAAATACTCCTGTTATCTTACACTAAAGGTAAGGATTGCTTATAAAGATTCAAGATGTCCTAGAACATCACTCAAATATCAAGGCATTTAGTCAGCTATCATGAGCGACTAGAACAAGACACTAGAAAACTGTCATGAACCAAGGCAGCCATTTGTTTCTCTCTCAGCTTCCTCTGTTGCCCCGTACATGAGGGTAAGTCAAAAACTATTGCTTCTAGGTTGTCAGTCCATAATATAATGACTGGTTCCAAGCAAAACAGGTTTAAACACATGTATGTGATCAGGGGATGGCTACAGACAAGTTCTCTCAGTGTTAACACTTGTCTGAGTCGTCTTGGGGTGTTTACAAAGGAAAGTCCAATCACAACCGTATATTCTGAAGAAATCTGCTGGGTCAGTTAAATTCAAGGCGGAGAGGTCAGCTCAGAAGGTTATGGAGATGTTCAAAGTGCCATTTTGATGTGATGTAAATGGAAGAGCGCAGAATTCTTTGGGAAAGGTCTAAAGATATGGAAATACTGCCTTTGTTATTGTTAAGTGATGTCCAATCAGTTCTGACACATAGCGAGCCTGTATAGGGTTTCCAAGGAGCAGTTGGTAAATTTGAACCGCTGACTTTGTGGTTTAAACTGACCTTTCAATCTAGTGCTTTATCCCATGGCACCAGGACTATATGGAGGTTATGCTGAGAAACAATAGCTTCACATTTTGATAGTTTTTGTTTAACAAAAGTGTCTGTGATTTTGTAGCAGTACTTTTGGACTTTGTATAATGACAGATGTTGCCCTCACACAAAACCCAAGGTTTAAATATCGTTGTAGCCAAAACCCATGGCAGAGCCCTGGCAGGATTTCTAAATGAGGGGCAAAGCTGGGGTCCAGCATTTCCTATCCTCTCCTGACTCAGCTGTGACCAAGGCACACATTTACACTACCCAAATTAAGGTATCCTGCTGCCACTGAGGAGAGCTGTTCTAAAGGAAGACAGAGGAATTTGAGCAGGCTTCCCCTTAAAAAAAGCAAGCACATGAGCAAGGAAAGACAGATTCAGTTCTGGGCTGGGAAAGGTTTGTAAAGGAGTAAACGTTTCAGAAGCCACTTTCGTAGTTACCTGGTGCTACAGTAAGAAACCCCACCAGTTGGTGGCTTTAAAGAACAGAAATGTGTTTCCTCACAGTTCAGGAGCACTGGCACTGAGGGAAGGCTCGCAGGGTTAGCTCCAGGGGGAATTCCTATGTTTGGCTCTCCCATTTGCTCCTGCTTGTCCCTGTGACTCTGCTGTTCTAAAGGAGCTGAAGTGATTAGGTTTAGGGCACATCTTACACTACTCTTCCCAAGTGAGATTTACAACCACAGGTATACAAATTTGCATCTGAACATACAGTTCAGTCCTTAACACCTCTGAATAAACCTCTGTAGGATTCTCTAGATGGAAGCCAGGACAGCCGTGTAAAGTCAGATGGCCTGGAAGTTCGTGGCATGCATAGGGAATGGAGGCAGGTTACTCCTGCCGGGATGTAGGTAGCATGGGGCTAGGCACTCTGTCCTCTCAGCCACTACCTCTGCCCCTTCATGTGACATCCGTGGCCCTCTGTGATCTGGCCCCTGCTTATCTCTCCAGGTTCAACTCTTTGCCCACTAAGTTCTAGAAATCACTTCAATTTCTACATGGGACTGTTACTTCCACGTTCTTTTAACCTGGTCAATTCTTAGCCATGTTAGAGAACACATGCTCCAAAAAAGCCTTCCCCGAAGCTCCTAAGACAAGCATTTTATTGTTATTGTTAAGCGCTGTCGAGTCAACTTCCAACTCATAGAAACCCTGTATAGGGTTTCTAAGGAGCGGCTGGTAAGGTTGAACCACGGACCTTCCAGTTCAAACCAACTATGCAGCCCAGTGCATTAACCCACAGCACCACATCAGGTCTCCAAGCATCTTATAGGTATTTAATTTCCATGGACTCACAATTGTTTTGCATTTAGTTTTCTCCATACCAGCCCCCCCACACTAGGAAAGCTGTGTCTTACTTCTTGTTGTATCATGTTGTTGTTGTTGTTAAGTGCCTTCGAGTCGGTTCCAACCCATAGCGACCCTGAACAGAGTTTCTGAGGCTGTAAATCTTTACGGGAACAGAAAGCCTCATCTTTCTCCCATGGAGAGGCTGGTAGTTTCGAACTGCTAACCTTACGGTTCACAGGCTGATTTGTAACCACTACGCTACGTAGGTATCTGGTATCTGATTAAAAAAAAAAAACTAACCAGTTGCTGTTGAGCTGATGTTAACTTATGGAGACTCCATGTGTCCCAAAGTAGGACTGTGCCCCGTAGGGTTTTCAACAACGATGGTCTTTCGAACAGCCAGTCTTTTGGTTAGTAACCCAATGCCTACCTATTTGTACCACCCAGGAACTTCTGGCACATGATTATTGTTGTTTGGAGGTGCCATTGAGCCAACTGCAATGCATAACAACCTCATGGGACAGAGGAGAACAGCTGCATAGGGTTTTCTTAGCTGTCATCTTTATGGAATAGATTACCAGAGTGTTCTCTTGTGGAGATGCCGAATGCGTTCGAACTGCCAACCTTTTGGTGAGTCCCATCCAGTGCTTCACCATTGCTCTCTCGTTGTTGTTGTTAAGTTCCGTCTAGACCCATAGCGACCCTGTATAGGGTTTCCATGGAGAGCTGGTGAGCTTGAACTGCCGACCTTGCAGTTCAAATGGCTTTGCAGTCTGGCGCATTAACCCACACCAGGACTCCATCACCATTGCGTTTAAGTACCCGGTAAATATTGGTGGATGTGTGCCCGGAAAGACAGCTTCGTATTAGGAAAATGCAAATCAAACCACACTAAGATACCACTTAACTCCTGTTAGGAGGGCCGGTGGTCGTGGTGGTGTGCCATGGAGTCGGTTCTGTGCATGGTCTCCAAGGCTCTAAATCTTTACGGAAGCAGAAAGCCTCATCTTTCTCCCATGGAACAGCTGGTAGTTTTGAACTGCTGACCTTTAGGTTAGCAGCCCAACTTGTAACCACTACGCTACTAGAGTTAATATTAAAAAACAAACAAAATGTTGATGAATATCAGAGAAATATGAAATTTGTTGCTGTTGAGAAAGCAAAATGGTCCAGTCAC